TATATGATGTTTAACTTCCATAGACAAATATGTTTTATGCTTTGCTGTGAAAAATACAATATCAGTTTTTCCATATTTTAGATTAAATAAGATTATGAATCAGGTGGCCATTCAGCGGAAGAAGCAGTTTGTTGAACGAGTGCACAGTTACTGGTTGCTTAAAAGACTGTCTAGGAACGGTGTTCCTCTGTTGAGAAGGCTGCAGTCCAGTTTACAGTCACAAAGAAACACACAACAGGTATGTGACATACTTTTTACTTATAAGAACTCTGAAAAATTATTCTAAAGAGTAAAAATTAACCAGGGAGCATAGTAGAGTGAAAACTTTCTCTTATTCAGGACTGAGTAAATTTTTCACCTTATTCTTAAGTAATACGACCTATATTGGAAATGGGGCATTATCTGATCCTTTTTAATTTGGGATATGAAAAGAAAAATATTTGTGCAGGGTTTTTTCTTTGTTTTCCTTAATTGTTTCACAAAAAATACGGTCACCAAAACTATCCTGATGTCATCATTCATTGACTAGTGTTGTGGTTTTTTGGAACTCGTCCTATGAATTACTAAGATAAAAAAAAATCTAGTATTAAATACATTAAAAGGTGCAAAGCGAATGTCATCTTTGACACTTACAACTCAGAAAAACAGGGATTTTTGCAGAGTAGAGGTTAGACATTCTGGGTTAAAGACTTCAGATGCAGATCCTTATTACTTACCTTGTTCACTAGTAACAGAATAAAGAACAAGTTGTTGATGAAGTTCAAAGACCTGTTTCCACTTTTAGTTTCACTTTTGACATAGTTGAGTGGGATTGTAGGCAAGCATAAATTTACGCTGATACTTTGATCAGGTAAAACTCATCCTAGCTAAAATACATCTGGCTGGTTAAAGTTATATGCATTTATCAGTTCGAATTGCTGGAAAACAATAAAACAGGCACTCCAGATGTGTGTCATTCAGAAAGTGATAGTCTTCTGCTTCCTATTTGTACAATACTAGCAGCTCTTCAGTGACATTAGACATTTTGGCAGGTCTTTTACTGTTTTGGTTCTCTCCATTCTCCAGGTGTTTGACTTCCAGTGGAACTGTTCCTGTAAAATAGCCTCTAGAACTTAACTGCATTTTATAATCATTTACTTCTATTAAATTGAGCACTCCCTCCCCCCCCCCACCTTTAAAGCTTAACAATTATTTTTGTTTGAATTGCATTGCTATTTGCTGATTAAGTCATCAATTGATGTAGTCATAAAAAGACTGTGGTCAACACTGCTTATTATTTGATCTGTCATTCTTTTGTGTGTTTCTTTTCTTGGCTTTTCATGGGGGAAAAAACAAAACAAAACAAAAAAAAACCCCTAATTAATAATTCCCAAGATAATTGAGGTTGGAAGGGACCTCTGGAGGCCATCTGGTCCAACCCGCTGCTCAGGCAGGGCCACTTAGAATAGGTTGCCTGGGACTGTGTCCAGACAGCTTTGGAGTATTTCCAAGGGTGGAGAGTCCACAACCTCCCCGGGCAACCTGTGCCAGTGCTTGGTCACGCTCAGTGTTTTCTGATGTTTGGAGGGATCCTCCTGTTTTTTTCTTTGTGCTGCCCCTGGTTCTCGGGTCACAGGGCAACACTGAAAAGAGCCTAACTCCGACCTCTTTGCACCCTCCCTTCAGGTGTTTATATACATTGGTGAGATCCCCCCTGAGCCTTCTCTTCTCCAGGCTAAAGAGTCCCAGGTCTCTCAGTGTTTTCTCAGAGCTGAGATGCTTAAATTCCTTTTTGTGGAATGTAGGCGGATTCCTTTCAGACGGCATTAACTTTGAATATAAATTGGCCACTTGTTCATCTTTCTTCCATTGCTTCTATATTACTCCATTTTAATACTATTTTTGGGGGGTGTAATTTCTCTAAAATATTTGGTATTCTACTTTAAATCTCTCATCTTTTAATCCTGTATGCAAAGTGGCTATTCTGAAGAGTGGTGCCTGGCACTTACCTAGTAATACCAGAAATTATTTTATTCAGATAATAACCGCTGGGTCATTTTTAAATGAGCTTGAATCCTTAAAAATAATAAAATCAAGCACAAAAGTCATGGGCTTATGTGGCAGTATAGACCTAGGCTATAGTTAGTGTGAAATATATATACTTGATAGTTGGTAGTTGGGAAGTACTGTTCCTATTGAGATGGCATGATGAGACTGCAACATTTCTAAATATTTAAATAGAAACTACCAAAATGAAAGAATTCTTATTGAAGTTGGATTATGATTCTATAATAAAATAGGGGTTAGGAGCTGTTTAGAATCTGTTTGCCTTTTTTGCACTCCCGTACAAACTCTATTTATTTCTTTTCTATCCAGAACTATGCATTATTCCTTAGAAAATATTTTCTAAATTGAAAACTATTTATATTGGTTTATTAAAAATGTGGGTACTTCTGAACTTTCTTAATGGAAACTTACATTAACTTTGTCTTTTGAAAAGAAAAAGCAATTTTCAAGCAGAGCTGAGTATTAAATGATTCTATTGATGAAAAATACGTAGGTGGTAGTGCTTTTCAGTGAGTAGTGAGTATCCTGTGGCATGGCAGAATGGTATGATATTGCCCATACCATCTTCAATAAGTATATGGAATGCCTATTAAAGTAGTCATAACTGTAAAGTGTTTGGTGCATTAGTCATCTTCATAAAGAATGAAGACTAATAAACAGCAGTACCATGGCTGTTTTGAGAATGCCTCAAAGTTTTAAGATGCACATGGTAATTCATTTCAGTCTAGATGGGAATATTCTTTTCACCTCATTTTGTGTGAGAGGTCAGAACATCAAGAAACCTAAATAAGTTTTCGTCTGTCAGAGGAACATCAACACTCATGTAATACAGATTTAGAGAAGATTTTTTTTTTAATTATTTCAACTGAAAAGAAATGTTAGGATGAGGAACCAAAACCGTGAAAATGGTTTCAAGATGCCTAGTGGAATTTGGCTTTGATCCCTCTCTAAGTATCATTTACTAGAACAAATTTGGCAGGGGGAGAAGCATTCCTGATTTATGGTTACTTCCTAATAAACGTCTTTCAGATCTTATTTATGATACGCTTTTGGTGGTGATGTTATATCAACTAACAGTTCCAAACCAGGCAAGAATATCTTGGCTTATATGCTACCTCACCATCTGCAGGAATAAGGAACCATCTGAAAGAATGGTTTATACTATCACTTCTCTCTCCACCTAGAAATTCAGGAAGGGTATTGGAAATACTGTGATAAATTTATATCCCCTTTTTTTTTCTGCATTTAAAGAATGGTTGAATAAAAGTAACACATGCAATCTAAGCATAGTAGGGAGCATTGTTGTTGCTGTAGGGAGATTGATTTAAAACTGCTGTTATTATAGTATATAATAAACTGCTGTGAGAGAAACAAAGAAGGTGCTGGTGACTAAGGTCACATCAGAAGATTTCAGTAAAAACACAAGTTACAACCACCAAATGGTTTTGACTGATTAGCGTACAGGTGCCAGCAGAGGGTCTTCATAAAACTAATTGTATTGATCAAGATCCAATTTCGTCACTATTGGAAATAGAATTTCCAGTTCTATTTTTGTTTGGCTTATATCAGTTATGGTCCATGTAGGGAGTGAGGCTATCCCCAATTATTCACATCCAGAGGAAGGGGCGATGTGTTGGTGCACTGACAGTATTCCTACTAGTAGGCAGAGACTGGTAATGTACTTATGGGGGGAGCTGGAGCTGAAGACCAGTTCTCAGTTGATGCATGTTCTGTGTGTAGGTGTTAGAAGTGCTACCCTCTTCCCTCAGTATTAATAAATGTCTCAGTTTTGGCTTTCTTTCTAGGTAATACTTGGTGTTCAGCAAGAACTGAGTCCATCAGAAAACACCACAGAGTTTCTTTCTAAATTTTTCTTCTGTTGTCTGCCAGAAGCAGCTTCCTGGCTTTGTTATAGAAAGAAAGATTTGGAAGAAGAACATTCTACCAGGAAAGTTAATAGAAACTTTCCTTGCTAAAAAGCTTTTGAAAACTAAATTTTTTAAAAGGAACTCTTTTTATCCAAGTTTTTAGTAGTTAGGTATTGGAAACCGGTGCATCGTGCTCTCTTCAGCTTGCTTGGATCTTTTAATCTAATTAAACTATATAGAATAAATAGGTTAGGGTGAAGAGGGTTTATCTCATCAATTGTAACCCTGTCTGCCAACATTAGTTCGCATAGAAGTGTCAGAAAATGGGAGGCTTACTATTAATCCCCAAGCTGGAACAACATTCAAGAGGGGAGTATATGTGCACACAAAGGCAAGTTAGGTGCTCTTAATAGTGTGGGCCACATCTGCAGATATACACCGACCTGCCTGTTTTATGGAATGAAATTAGTCAAACAACTGGTTCAATTTACAGAATTTTTTTTCTTTTTTTTATTTTTATTTTTTTTTTTTAAAGCGCAGTCGCACCTTCAGGTTTAGCCAAATCCTGAAGTCTCTGATGAGCTACCCCAAGGCCTGCTGTAACAAAGTAACTTTTTTTTTTCTTGCTGTATTTAAGTTTCCTGACCCACCCTAAAACTAGCATGGTTTTGTTGACTTAGCTTTGAGCAGGGTCAGTTCCCCAGTTTCATGAACTATGCAATTACATAGGGCAAAAGAGCGGACTCTGAATGGCTGCAAGCAAAGGGAGGACAAGTCTTCCACTTTTAGCAATAGCCACATCTTAAATTTCGGTACTGAAAAACAAGAAACTATGGAAAAATTGTATAGCTGTGTCAGTTAACAGTTAGGTTGCTTTTCCACACATGGGTCTCATACTCAGAACTAGAGGGATGTAAGAGAACAGCAATTCGTGGCACTGTAGACTTTCTAATTCAGTCAGTCTGAGAATTTTAGAGAATTGAAAACATACGTATTATTTTTTCTGTCAGAATTTACTTTAAACTGTTCTGTCCTTCAGCAGTTAAATTATTACATGTCTAAGTCAAAACTTAACTCCTTGAAAGAAATTGTAACTGTCAGTAGTAATAGTTATTAGAAAAGGGAACTAGAAGTTTCTAGCTACAATTTTTCAGACTTTTTTTTTAAAGAGGAACAAACTGTTGTTTCCAGATTGCTGTATTATAATACAGAGGTAATAGTTAAGGATTTTCAACTTCACTGAAGTCAGAGACTTGAATAAAACTAACCTCATATCTTCTGTGGATACTTGCCTCTACAAAAGTGTATAAAACAGTAAAACATGATGCAGATCATAGAATCATAGCACTCACAAATCTATTCACTATTTTTTTTAAACTGCCACTTTTTGCAGTTCTATTTTTAGAACATTCTGTTGTTCTAAATAGTGAAAAATTGCACAAGCTTCCTTTAAAGTGCTTGTGATATTTCTAAATTATCCTTCTGTTAAGGAGGTTTCTCCTTCAAGTGTAACAATTTGTAATGTCGGGTTTTGTTTATCTGCTCAGGCATCTTTATTCTTCTGTCTTCTATTTTTTTATAACTTACAGAATTTATGTATTGTTTGCTTTAGTTTGAAAAAAAAATTGACAATTACTTATCAAGTGTATACCGCATTATGCTTTGGATCTCTTTCTGAGATTCTTTTATAAAATACTCATTTTTAATGTAATAATTTTCCAAAACAGATGTTTCCTTAGTGTACTTGGTACTAATATGAGGACTTCATGACCTTGTTTCTGCTGAATTACCAATACCATTTGAATACTATAGGTAGTATTCCAATATCCTTATTTTTCTTATGAAAAGTACTAAAAAAAAATTCTGTTTTCTGTAATGCACAGATCAAACTAAATACTGCAAGTGTTCAAACACTACTTTTTCCTAAAAATGTGTGAATTATTTCATCTGTTTGCTGAAAGGTTGTATTTACTGCATTACCCATTTCCAGTACCACATAAAGTTACTATAAATTGCTTTTTATTTCCTATCCTCAGAAGTAGTAGTGATTTTGTTCTGTTACAAGTGTGCCCTCATTCTGCTGGGAGCGGGGGAGGTGGACTGTGTGAATTCAAGAAGAATTGGTTTCTAACAGGCCTGAGTTTGTGAAGAAGCTGATGATCTTCACGTGGTTTGGATTCTAATGTAAAAATACTGAATCTTATTTTACAGCTTGTTAAATTGCTGGGTTGCTGTTTGCTGTATTGCTTCTTCTGGCGTGAATAGCCTTCACCATAGGATTGCTTCCTGGTTTTTATAGATTTTGTTTTCAGCTAGATGGTCAAGAAACTCTAGAAGATATCCTGACCAGAGGCTTTCTTTTGTTGCAGTATGAAGCTTATGATCAACTACCATAACTATTAGACAGTAGTTTCTCTTTTCTTGGAAATATATTCTGTAATTGCATAAAGCTTAGCTTATAAAAACAGGTTAATGTTTCTCATGTCATGAAAACCTTTTGATTCTTTTCTTAGAGAGAAGATGATGAAGAAATGCAAGCCTTAAAAGAAAAATTGAAGTACTGGCAAAGGCTGCGTCATGATCTTGAAAGAGCACGTTTGTTGATTGAACTTATACGTAAGCGTGAAAAATTAAAAAGAGAACAGGTAAAGGGCATCTTTCATTTGCTGAAACTTTTCTGAAGCAAAGATAATTTAAGTGTTCTCACACAAAGTTTTTGCAATAGAAAGACTGCCGTGTTTGTCTTTTAATCCTCACATAGGATCAAGAAATGTGTGTATGCGTGCACTCATGCAAACTGTTTAAAATACATAAAATTATCATAAAATCACACAATGGTTTGGGTTGGAAGGGACCTTCAATGATTACCTAGTCCAATGCCCCTGCAAATCAACAAGGAAATCTTCAACTAGATCATACTGCTCAAAGTGCTGTCCAGCCTGACCTTGAATGTCTCCAGGGACATGGCATCTACGACACTCCTGGCATCTCTCTGCTCCAGTGTTTCACCACCCTCAATGTAAAAAAAATTCTTATATCTAGTCTACATCTACCCTGGTTTAGTTTACAACCATTATCTTTTATCTTGTTGCAAGAGGCTCTACTAGAGAGTTTGTCCCCATCTTTTTTAATAAGCTTCCTTTAAGTACTGAAAGGTGCAATAAGCTCTCCTCACAGCCTTCTCTTCTCCAGGCTGAACAACCCTGACTCTCTTCATAGGAAGGTGTTCCAGCCCTCCGATCATTTTTGTGATCCTCTTCTGCACCCTCTCCAACAGGCCTGTGTCTTTTCTGTGTTAGGGGCCCCAGAACTGTACACAGGGCTCCAGGTGGGGTCTCACCAGAGCAGAGTAGAGGGGCAGAATCACCTCCCTTAACCTGCTGATTGTGCTTCTTTGGATGCAGCCCAAGATATGATTGGCATTCTGGGCAATGGGCACACGCTGCTGGCTCATGTCCAGTTTTTCATCCACCAGTACCCCCAAGTCCTTCTCCACAGGGCTGCTCTCAATCCATTCATCCCTCATTTGTATTAATACTGGGGGTTGCCCTGACTCAGGTGCGGGACCTTGTACTTGGCCTTGTTGAATCTCATGAGGTCCACACGGGCCACCTTCTCAAGCTTGTCCAGGTCCCTCTAGATGGCATTCTGTCCTTCAGGCATGTCAGCTGCACCACTCAACTTGGTGTTGTCCACTGAGGGTGCACTTGATCCCACTGTCTGTGTCATTGATGAAGATATTAAACAGTACAGGTCCCAGTACAGTACCCTGAGGGACACCACTCATCACTGATTTCCATCTGGATATTGAGCCATTGTCTGCTACCTGTTGGATAAGACCGACGAGCCAATTCCCTATGTACCAAACAATTCATCTATCAAATTCCTATCTTTCCAATTTAGAGAGAAGGATATTGTGAGGGTCTGTGTCAGAGACGTTCCAGAAGTCCACATAGATCACACCCGTAGTTCTTCCGTTGTCTGCTGATGTAGTCACTCCATCACAGAAGGCAACAAGGTTTGTTAGGCAGGACTTGTCCTTGGTGAAGCCATGCTGGCTGTCTCAAATCACCTGCTTTAACATGGCTTCTAGGAGGATCTCTTCTGTGATTTGCCCAGGTACAGAGGAGAGGCTGACAGGTAAGTAGTTCCTCCTTTCTAAGTTTTTTGCTAAGGAAGTGGCCTCCGTTCTGTGTTTTTTAAAAATGGATGCAATGTTTCCCTTTTTCCAGTCTTTGAGGACTGCACCCGACCACCATAACTTTTCAAGTACCTTAGAGTGTCTTGGCAGCTACATCTGCCAGTTCCCTCAGGACTCTGGGATGCATCTCATCAGCTCCTATAGACTTACGTATATTCAGGTTCCTTAAATGGTCACAAACCTGATCTCTTACAGTGGGAGGGACTTTGCTCCCCCAGTCCTTTTCCTTGAGGTGCATCTACTTGAGAGGTATGGAAAGACTGAGGCAAAAAAGTTGTTGGGTACCTCAGCCTTCTTTTCATCCATTGTTACCAATTTGCCAGTCGCATTCCTGGGGGGGAATGCTTTCTTTGACTTTACTCTTCTGGCTGACATACCTGTAGAAACCCTTCTTATTATTCTTTGTGTCCCTTCCCTTGCTGACGCCCTCCCTGCACAACAAGGCAGCGTCCCTTGTGAACAGCCTGTAGCCATCAATAGCCACACTCCAGTCATGGGATTTATCCCAGCATGTTTCAGTAGTGGCAAATAGGTCATCACTTTCTAGCATCACAGTAGCCTCCAGCTCCTCCTGTTTGTTGCCTGTGCTGTGTGCACTGGTGTAGAGAAATTATTTAACAAGCCATTCTGTTAGACTTGCAAAGATGATTGGTTTCTGAAGAAGTGTAGAAAATTTGATCTTTTGTGTTTTCCCAGTACATTTGTCTATACTGAGTAGCACTTTTATTCTTCTGTCACCAAAACAACGGAAAAAAACCCCCAAACCTGCATCTACGTCCTACAGCACTCTAGAGTTAACATTGCTGGGTGAAGAGATTTGAGGAAGTGATGATGCAGAAAGATAATATTTTATATGAAAACTGTAAAAGCAAGGTGTTTGCACTTACAAGTCTTTAACTGTCCTTATAAAAACACCATTCCATTTTTATTGTTTGCAAGCTGTGAACATTCATTGCAAGCTAATATAGTTTGTAATTCTTGAGTGCTTTCTGGAATTCCATGCATCATTCTTGAACATTCACATATCACTTGCTATACATGCATATTATATGTTGTTATTTATAAACATGTGTTTTATGTATGTGTTTGTACATGTATGCTTTGTTTACATGTTTATATTATATGTGCATACACACACACTGTTAATGTGTCCTTAAGAACTTACTTTTGCTATAACAAAACTGTTTCTTTAAATGGCCTGAAAATAAAACTATAGGGGAGTTGTAATATTGTAAAAAATAATGAATATTCTGAAGGATGATCAAGTATCTGAGCATTTTGTTGATTCTGTTTATCTAAATTTTTTTCTTGGAATTTACATAGCACACTGTCTTTGAAATTACTCTTGGTTTTGGTATGATGTAACCTGTAGATGTTCATCACATTCTCTTTTTACACTTTGAGCATGGCACTACAACTGAAATTTAATTTTAAACATGTTACTTTTTAAATTCCTGTTATTACTTTGGCATTGTTGGCTAAATAGGAAGCTGTTCTTGTGTAACATCTTTTCAAACAGAAATACAGTTACAAAGGGGAACAAGACTGATTTATAGATAAAATACAAATTTCAGTTGTGAGAAGCTGAAGTTGAGTCTGCAATGAAGGGATGAGAATAATTTTTTTTCTTGCAATCAGGAGCTGAAAATGGGTGTCAGATGTGAACTGATGATATTAAAAATAATATTGAACTCACTTAAATATATTTGTGGTGTTTCATATCTGAAGTAATATACTATTGCTGCAAAACAACTTTAAAATGGTATCTTAAGGAATAATGCTTAATTGGATAATTACTACTTTTGTAGGTCAAGATTGAGCAGGTTGCTATGGAACTTCAGCTTACTCCATTCACTGTACTTCTGCGATCAGTTCTGGATCAGCTGCAGGAGAAGGATTCTGCTCGGATATTTGCTCAGCCAGTGAACCTTAAGGAGGTATGGTTTAAGATGCATTTCCTTGTGTTTAGATAGAACTCGGTGGCATTTAAATACAAGAAACAGATCACTGCATGCAGAGTTGGAAGCAGCATTACCTTTTGTCATGGTTTAAGCCCAGGCAGTAACTCGGTACCACGCAGCCACTCGCTCACTCCCCTGCTTCTACCTCCCCCCACTCCCGGAGGGATGGGGAGGAGAATCGGAGGAATGTTAACTCCCATGGATTGAGATAAAAGCAGTTCAGTAACTAAGGTATAATACAAACCACTACTGCTACCAATAATAATGATAAGAGGAATAACAAGGGAAGAGAATATAAAACTAAAAGGGGAAAAGGAAAACAGTAAACACAAGTGTTGCAAAATACAATTGCTTGCCACCCGCTGACCGATACCCAGCCCAACTCGAGCCATGATCTGGGCCTTCCAGGTAACTCCCCTCAGTTTTTATACTGGGCATGACGTGCTGTGGTATGGAATACCCCTTTGGCCAGTTTGGGTCAGGTGCCCTGTCTCTGCTTCCTCCTGGCTTCCTATGCCCCTCCTCCCTGGCAGAGCATGAGACTGACAACTCCTTGATCGGGGCAGGCATTACTTAGCAACAACTAAAAACATCGGTGTGTTATCAGTGTTGTTCTCAGACTAAAGTGGAAAACACAGCACTGCACCAGCCACTAGGAAGGAGAAAAACAAGCTGAACCCAGGACACCTTTTAATCTCTATTCTGATAATTTGCATTATGATTTAGGATTTACTCCTATGAAAGTCCATTTATGCTCATATCTCAAAATAATTTCTGGGACATGTATGGAATAACCTGGTACATATTGATCTTCTGTGATACGGTTATTTGATGAAGCAGACTCAAAATAGAAATGTGGATACTGTGTTCTTACTTTCAGGTGAAATTCCATTCACTGGGAAACTAGATAGAATGTAGGTGTGTGTGTATATGTACATATACAATACTTCCATACATGTGTATAAATAACATGTAGACATGTAGACATGTCTGTTTAAATTATGTGTATATATATGTGTGCATATGCTACATGCAGCTGTGTATTATATATGCATACATTTATAAGTATGTGTATATGCATAAATACATGTGAAATATGTACACAAAACCATAGAATTACAGAAACGTGTAGTTTCGGCACCTGTTAATAGAGCTCTAACTTGTTACCTAAAATGCAGAATCTTGTAATACATAAACTTCTGTTGGCATGCAAATGTTTGCATTTATAAGCTACGCTTCAAAGCTCTTTATTAGAGGTGTTGCAAAATATGTTAAAAAGTGTGGATCAGTTAATAGCTGATGTTACTTTGTCTGTAGTAAAGTAATTTTTCCCATTTGTGTTTTAAATGTTTATTCAAAGGTTCCAGACTATTTGGATCATATTAAACATCCTATGGATTTCTCTACCATGCGAAAACGGTTAGAGGCTCAAGGCTATAAAAACCTCAGTGAGTTTGAAGAAGACTTCAATCTTATCATAGATAACTGTATGAAATACAATGCAAAAGATACAATATTCTATAGAGCGGCAGTGCGGTTAAGAGATCAAGGAGGTGTAGTTCTCAGGCAAGCTAGGCGAGATGCTGAAGGAATCGGTTATAATAATGAAACTGGAATGCACTTACCTGAACGGCCTAAACTTGAGTCACCCCAGCCTTTCTCTTGGGAAGATGGTAAGATGTTTTCGGATTATCTATAAAAGTTGCATTTTCCATTACACACAGTGTGTATATTCCATACAGATGATTTACGATTGTTGCTGTTCGATTTGCTGACTAGATTCCCCTCCCTGCCCCCCCATTAAAAAATGGCTTGAAAGATTCAAGTGTTTCTATTCTACTAGATCTGTTATTTTAACAGTCTTGTCCAGTTTCTGATTTTGATAATGCCAGAGGCTAATTTAGCAAGATATGTGAAAAAGGTTTTTAAATTGAATGCTTGCTTTCATGTGATTGTATGTGCTTGTAAATCATGGAAAATTACTACCAGTAAACACTCTTAAGCACATTCTTAAATAACCTACTGAATTAAAAAATCAAATGTGTTTGTAATACTAGGAATTAAAATAGCTTCTTTTGACATACACATTAGTTTTCTAAGGTTTCGGCAATAAAGGAGAATAATTAACATGTTTCTTTTATAACCATAATCTTATCCTTCTCTTTGACAAGAAGAAAATAATCTCTTAGGGTGGGAAGGATTAATTATGTCTTCTTTCTGACCTATAATTCTTTGCTCTGCTATTTTAGCTTTCTTGAGCAAAATGCTGATCAAGGAGAACAGTAATTATGTAGTAGGAATTCATTTCAACATTTCTTCACTGGTAACGGTGAAGCTACTAAGACTGTAATCTAAGTAGCTTTTTGATGATGTTTTTTAGTTCTGGCAAGTGAATTTTATTTTTTCCTCCTTTTAGTAGTAGTATTCTGGAAAACACTAACATATTTTCAATCATGTGTATTTTGACTTTAGTGGATAGGTTACTGAATCCTGCAAACAGAGCGCATATGTCCTTGGAAGAACAGCTGAGAGAGCTGCTAGAAAAACTTGATCTCACCTGTTCAATGAAATCCAGTGGCTCAAGGAGCAAAAGAGCAAAGCTGTTAAAGAAAGAAATCAACATTATTCGCAACAAACTTAGTCAGCAACACAACCAAGTTCCTCAAATAGAATCAGGTATTGGAAGTTTTGAAGAAGAAAGTGGAGCATTAGAACAAGATGGAGAAGAGGAAGGTAAGAATTTAAACTATGTTTAAACCAGTACTGTTCTGAACTTCTTCAGTCAGGTGCTTTAATAATATTTATTAAAGTATAGTAAATATTATATTTAATTTTTCAATGGACACATAGCCACTTAATCACAACAAATATTTGAAAAGTATGAGAATGATACCATTAAGCAAAATCTGCCTCCATTATTTTTCAAAGTAACAAGGCTTTTTAGAAATCTAGATGTTAAGAAATGAAAGTACAGACAATCTCACATGAAAAGAAATTGGAAATGCCCAAGTGGAAATATCTTTGTACTTTCAGAAATCCACTTAAAAAACAAAATATGTGTTGGGGATCATGTGAGTCTAGGTCAGTGATGCTGAAAACTCTGGCCATTGTGCTGTCTCTTGTAGCCGTTCTTACTTTCTACTCCATACCCTGGGGAGGGTGGAGGATAGGTCTGGATTGTTAATTTAGTTTGTTTGGTTTGGGTTTGGTTTTTTTGGGGGATGTTTTTTGTTGGGTTTGTTGGGTTGTGTTTTTTTAATCTAACTATTGCTAGGACTTAACAAACTTAATGTTGTAGAATCAAATCAGCCATATCTAACCAGCCCTTCCCCTTGTGCTATTCTTCCTCCTTAAAACTGGTCTCAAAGCTGCATCTACTCTTGGCTAATTCCCATTGATTTCAATGAGAGCAGTATACTAGAAAGACCTAACTTTATATTTCAGTTGAATATTGTATCTGTACTTTTAGGATTTAAATCAGTTACTGAGGTGTCTTTATTGCTCATTTTTAAATGTTGCCAAGAAAATCTAGTGTCTCAAAAAAACCAAGTTCTTTTGAGTTTTTGTTGCGTGATCAGCTTGCCTCTAAAAAGCTAATCAATTTTTCTTTAGGAGAGTTAGAGATATGTTTCATTTTGCATTAAATGAGAGGAGGAAAGAGCTCAAGGGAAAATGGAAGCATGGTAATAAATAAGAGAGTCTGTCTGGTACAGCTTGATGTTACCAGAATTTTTGAAAGATGAAGTCAATAAAATGACTGTCTTTAACTGCCATTCAGACAGAAACTTGGATTTTAATTCTTAGTGTGACTAAGAGAATGCTTTTCAAACATATAACTTGCTTGAGATTTGAATGACAATGGTAGAAAAAGTATATGTGAATCAACACACTTACCTTGTTCTTGAGGCCATTAAGTATTCTTAAACATTTAATGATTTTTTTAAATTTATATTTTATTTTATTTGTAATCTTCAAGTGATGATGCTACTGAATATAGGAATGTGGTTTCAGACAGATAGCTGAAGTTTTTACTTCTAGCTTTTCTATGACACAGCCTTTCACTGCAGCTGTTGTGCAAGAAATAGTCCAAAAGTGAGCAGTAACTGTTTCCTTATAGTCACAGAATACTTTTTAAAAAAAGATAGTGAAGAGCACGATCCAGACTTGGTTGGCATTGTTGTTACAGTTCTGATCTAGTGAAAAAGTGATAGTCATTAATTCAAATTCCAGTTGGGAAGTGGAAGGTATTTAGAGGAGTAAAGAAGACACATTGCCAAAAAGAAAGATGAGGAAAGAAATAGAATCCTGTGTCCAAGATCACTACAGGACTTTATGTGAGAAGAGCAGTGAAATACCCTCTTGCAATTGTTTTCAATTGTGATTCTGTGAAAAATTTGGTACCAGAATAACCCCATGAAATTTAGGGTTTAATCTCTTAATTAGTTTTCGAATGCCTAAATATTTTTGTGAATATTTCCTAAATAATTGTAAGAAAATTAGAATTTGTTCACAAAGAAGAGTCACCTTACACATTCTAAACTACAGGCTTTTTTTTAGTTTGTGGTATTTAAATGTGTTTATCTGACTGTAGATTTCATTCTAAATGCCTTCCTGAAATATTATTTACCAATTCTAGTACTTGTGTGCCTTCAGAAGATGTGAGCATAGTTAATACTTTATTTTAACAATATTCTTTTTAACAGGAACTATGCTATGGTTTTATTAGACCATAAACAACGGGGCAGAGATTTTTCAGCTCTTAGTCATTGATTTCAAGTAAGCATTGCTGAGCCAAAACCAAAGTGATACAGAGATAATATTTAATCCACTACAGATACAGGGCTTAAGCCCTTGGGGTTTTTAAACCTTTTTTTTCACGTGGTATAGAAAAATTAACTAAATTTTAAAATTTTATGTAGTGGCATAAATACTCTATTGGTCTCATAAAGTTACTTTAGAATAAGCATTTTCTTTATTATTAGTTTATATTTTAGAAGGTTCTTTCGGAAGCTAGAAAGAAGGTTGTAACATCTTTTTGAGTTGGTAATTATGGGTTAGGAAGCCTTTTAATCTGTATTTGGGAATGCTGCAATAGTAGAATGTTTATTTGCTCTTCCATCACTTTTGATGGAAAACTGAAACAAGTTTTATGTACTCACAGTTATATCTCCATTGTCTTTTCCCAGCATAGAATATCCTGGAATTGACCGGGAATGATCATGTTAAAAAAAAAAAAAAAAAAAAAAGGAAAAGAAAAGGGGGGAGAGGGAGAGTATGAAGAAATAATGGTAGAGGGTGGTTTTTCTGACTTCTCCTATCAAGTCTGCATTGTCAAGTGTGTATTTGCCAACTAGTGGCTGGTCAAGCTGCAAGACTTCGGGGGTGGTGGGTTTTTCATCCCCTTTTTTTATTTGTTTTTGATAGATAATACATAGCCAGGACTGTAGAACAGCTTTGCAAGTCTTGTCTTTCTGGAGATTTTGTGATGCATTTTAGCTCATTCTCGCAGATCAGTTTACAAATAAGGAAAGCAGGGGGGGAGTTATGCTTATCTGAAAAATTTGTCTTAGGCAGGTAAGGTGAATATTGATAAGGTGAAATAGATAAAAATGTATATTAAAATGTACTTGAATGGCAGTATAATTACATTTACAGATAACCATCCACAACCCCAGCTTTCTATTTAAAAAAATAGATTTCTTAGTTTTTAGTTAATGAAACTAACATAACTGCATGAGAAGTAAAAAGTATTTATCCAGGTGTAAACTCTTAACACCAACTATAAACACCTACTTTTCTATCCCTGTTACATTCCCATTATAAAAGTAGAAACTACTAACTAGGACAGATTGTTACTAGACAAGGTTTGTTTTTAAAATGTTATGCTTTGTTTCCAAACAACAATTTATTTGGTGGGCTGCACATTTATAGTGAGTTTTATAATAGACTTTATAACTACAGGTTTTCAAAAATCACACTCTATTTATAATTTTTTCAGGAGATAAATCTCCCCCTAAACTTGAACCATCAGATGCATTACCTCTTCCTTCAAACTTGGAGACTAATTCAGAACCACCAACCCTCAAACCAGTAGAACTCAATCCAGAGCAGAGTAAGCTTTACAAAAGAGTAAAATTTGATAATGAATTATATAGCACTTCCATTCAGAAAGAAATAAATGGACACACTCCAGAACACTTACTTGACAGTAATCTCAATGAGTCGACTGTTTCTGCTGTAGCTGAGTCATCAACTGATGTAAACAGACGTACATCCATTCTCTTCTGCAAATCGAAAAGTATAAGCCCCCAAAAGTCTGCAAAGAACACTGAAACCCAGCCAACTTCTCCACAGCTAGGGACCAAAACCTTTTTGTCTGTAGTCCTTCCAAGGTTGGAGACACTTCTGCACCCAAGGAAAAGATCAAGGAGTGCATGTGGAGATTCTGAGGTTGATGATGAGTCCCCTGTAAAGCGCTTGGATACAGGTAAATGTTACAAAACTTACTTGAATGGATGCCTCTCAAAATTTAACATACCTGTTAATATTTTGACATTATTGTAAATCTTCAGCTTCTAGCACCTGAGCAGCTTTTCCTCATAGCTGAGTAGTTACAGTTCAGAAAATTACTGATTCGTTTTTGTTGGCCCTATACAGTTAGATTTAGTGAACCAAGTAGTACTTTTTCATAGTTTTCACTTAAACTATGAAATCTTCCATTTACATGTATGAGTAGGTGATTTTTTTTCTTAAGCTGCTTTATATTTCCTTCTGTTGAAACCAGTAGGAAAGGTGAATCAGCTGCGTTTTGGAAATGCCCTGTTAAATTACATGGAAACTTCATTTATGGTGCCAAAACTAGAACTCTTGTAAGGAGGAACATGGAAAATACTTGTTCCATGCCTGACTTCATTTTGCTGTAGTGTTACTCCAAGCATATTTTCTCATTATGAAATTGATGACTGTGTACAAGGTGCTTTATATACCATGTATTTTATGGAAGTGTTAAATTCCAAGAGTATAATGACCTTTCCTGCGTTTCTTTTGTTTTTTAGTCTGTGCATTTTAAATAAAGTTGAAATATACAAGTGTGACATTATGCTCTTAATGAGACTTCTCTGAAGAACATTAAAGAAATGTTACCTTGATACATTGCTGCAGTACAGCTGAAGACATTAATTACACCTTTTCTTAGCAAACCATAGTTGTATTTATTGGAGAAGTTTGAATAAAACCCTCTTTGAGGAAGAACAGCACCCTAAGGAAATTACTTAAGTACATTTCCTTAACGTTATCCATGGCCATTGCTATGACTTCTGTTTTACCTTTGAAATAAATACTCTGGTTCATTGTCATGTTGATAACCCATCTGCAGGTGTGAAAAAAGCCTGTGGGTTTTTATGTCTTTGAATGAAAGGCAAAGGAACTTAAATTGTGAAGATGTGCTCCAAAAGCTGTTTTGGGTTTTATACTGTTTTTTTGTGGTTTGGGTGAGAAGGGGGTGGGTTGGTTGGTTGGTTTAGGTTTATTTTGGTTAGTTGGGGTTTTTGGTTTGGTTTGGTTTATTTTTTGTTTGCTTGTTTGAGTATTTTTTAGTCATCAAGTGAGGAGGAAAATTATTCTAATGCCTGAATCGTAGCATAAGAAAGTGATAAGTAAGATTTGGGGAGTGGGGGGTGTGGCTTCTTGTTTATCATAGGGTGGTTCAGGTTGGAAAGGACCTTAAGATCATCTACTTCCAACCCTCTGCCTTGGGCATGGTCAGCGTTGGGATTGATCCTGTCCACCGTGTCTGTCAGTGACATGGACAGTGGCATTGAGTGCACCCTCAGCAAGTTTGCTGGTGACTTTGTTTTGCTTCTTTCTCCTCTTTGGAAGCCTGTTTCCATTCTGTTTCGTAAGAGCTTGGAAGGAGCACGTGCATATATCTGATCTGGTACTTTAGTTCTGAAGCAGGAATCATATGAATGTAGTATGATGATAGAAAAGAGTTAATCTTCATTAATGATATAAAAAGCTTTGATATTCCAGTTTGCCAGTCTTTATCTCAATAATTTCATTCTGTACATTTATACAGGTTGCATTTTATCACACACAGTGCGAATCATTTTGTGCTAGGTCACACCAGGAATTAGTACTAATTCCTTGAAATTTTTATCTTAAACATTGTGAATTGATTGTTTTGGGGAAACGTGGTTTATTATACAGGAAAACTGACTTTTTGACAAAACCAAAAAACCAAGACACCAGATTTCTGAACACATTTTAAATCTGTCATTTTGTTCTTTTTCTCTCTGTGGGGTTGGTGTGTATGGGTCAAATATGCTTTTGGTTATCTTCAGAAAACCAAAAAAAACCCCAAACCACACTATTATGGATAGTTTCTTCTAATTTTAGTACTCTGCCTGTTTTAGAATTTCTAGGGTTTTGGTTTGTGGGGTTTTTCTAATATGTAGGAATAAAATCCAGTAAGTTAAAAGAATTTGTTCTAATTAAAATTCTATAGCCTCTTCCTGATGTGTGCGGAATTGGATTTATGTATGACTAATACTTAAGGGGCATTTGTATTTGTCTGTTCAGAAGAGACTCTGTATGTGAATTGGAATGTTTTAGCCAAATTATATTAATCTGAAAGTGTTCTAGTTATTCTTCGATAATGCATGGGGGTTTAGGCATATATAGTTCATACGGATGTGCCAGCTTATCAAGCTTGTTCCCATGATTCTTTTTTCATTTGCAACCAGACATTTTGCTTTCACATTGGAGATTTTATTCTGCATGTTATTTTCAGACTTGTTCAAGCAATTTGAGCTCAAGCAATTTGCAGTTGACAGCTATTTTGAGCTACAATTCAGCAGGAAATCAGGACAAAACTCACACGCTATC